ATGTTGTCTGTTTTTGAAGCTACCCCTCAGTTTCTGAAAAAATCCACAGACGTCACACTTTTGTCCATGTTAACAACTTTTAAATGATTTTTCCGTTTATTTGATCACGTACTTTCCTTTGAAAGTGTGTTTTGTCAATTAACACATATGTAATGTGTAGTTTTGAGGTGAAGTGATAACTGCAAATGATATGTATTCCACAGAGTATTAGCGACGCTTCTTTGCCGAAGATCTCATTTCTGAAATATTTAATATACATAATACGTTTGTCATATTTTTACAGTTATATCATGGGTATTAAATAATCTCACGCGACAATAACAAACGTGCAAGTATTATAAATGCTTGTCGGCATAAGGTAGTACTTTTTCCGTGAGATTATAAGATATCAAATGTGTTAAGCAAACTAGTAATATCTGTTTGCGTCTATAATGTTAAAATGTATAAGGGTGGCAACACTAATATATTCAACTCGAACGTGGTTTCTGAGGATGGAATTGAAAATACGTGGTTATCTGAAATGACTGAGAAAAATTGCTGGAGAAAAGCCAATGGAAGGATGCTAATGGAACTCGGTGACTGACCATGCTGACTGGCCCCATGTGCATTAGAGGAAATGTTTAGCAAACGTTGGCAACAGGTAAAACAGATGACAGAAGTTGCAGGCGCGAAAAGAAAATGCCGGATAGTTCAAGAAACCGGCATGAGCGATTCAACAACGGAACAATTAAGGTACAAATATTAATGGTAAACATGCCACCTAAGCATTGTTGGTAAGGCATTCAGTTACAATGAGTATTACGGGTAGCAACCTTATTTACACATGTGTTATTTACAAAAAGCGCAACCAAATTTTGCAAGTACTCACTACCGACAACTTTGATGTCGCGCAACCATCACCAGTCGCAGGTGGGCTAAGGATATTTCAAGGTTGCCCTGCACTCACGCAGGCTCCAACTCGCGGTGTCAGCCTACTAAACAGGCTGGTTACAGAGGAGTAGGATTTGAATGGTATCTGTAGAAATTCGTCAAATATTGACTTACTCAGACAGATGTCACACGCGTGGCAAAGCACTGTACGCACGTTTCATCCTTTCGGGAATCCTCAGTAGAGCGCATTCCATCGGACACTGGTAGGGATCGAACCCTCAAATCGACTGTTGCCAGTCTGTTGTTGAGACCGCTTAGCTACAGTGGATGGCAAAGACCAGAGTAAGTTACTAGATGGGAAATAGCGCCCTACTAGAGTCCGAAGGAACGCGCACTGCTGACAATTCCCAAAAGGATGGAACTCAAGTACAGGGATTTTCCAGGGGCTTGTTACCTTTGGGCTACGAGCAGAATGTCCACACGTATGATGTATGTTGGCAAAACTGCTCGCTAATTAGAAACCTCAGCTGAAATGAATGTTTAGAAAGTATTATAACGCGTCCTAGTTGTTTCGACGAACGAACACTCTTCATAATATCCACGCGCGCAGAGCAGCCACTCGCATTAGGAACGTTAGCTTACGCGACCTATCCCCGATCTGATACTGAGTACGATAAACGCGCAAGGTAGCGCTATTGCACTGAGAGTCGATCAAGAAAGACTGACCACTATATGAGTTGTCACACCGTAGTAGATAACTAAAGGAAACACAGTTAGTATCTGTGACTTTTTACGCTAACTGCCGCAGTGTGTTGAGATGAATTCAGTGGGTTCACTGCCGCATGCAAAATAAATGTATCAGTAGCGTGAGCATAGCTCATTTGGTTCACAGTCGATAAGCCTTCACGTTCTGAGGACGAATCAGTTTTTATTGGAGCAAAGTCGTCGTATAGTGGTTGTATGTTTGAGGTGAGCCCGGCGAAACCTACCCAACTCTGACTGAGCTGGCTATCAGACCTTGGTAAACAGCCACCTGCTCGCGGGCAATTAATTTCACTGACCAGGGGAAAAAGTACGCGAAGGAAAACTATTAGAAAACTTGTTAACATCGATTTTATTTTGTGTTATCACAACCCACGTTTACACCATGATCTCTTATGGCCATCCATGGCCCCATTTGGCACCCTAAGATAGGTTCACCTCCCAGGGCCCTAGGGGACATTTAGCTGTTGTTGGGAATGACTGTTCTAAATACAGAATGAGGAGGGACGGTGCTTGCAATTCTGGTCTTCAAGTACAGCCAATTATGTAAATTTCAATAGTTAGTAACTTCATTTGTTCTGCAATATACACTTCTTTCATAAGCATATACGTAATCAAGCGTTTCAAGAGCGTTTGGAAAATTCCAGCGTCTGAGCCTTAATGAGTACATTCCAACCAGTTTTAGATAAGATACTCGACTGCATTCCTGCCATAAAATTTTGGCGCCTGAAGGATTTCTTAACGGTCAATACTAGTGGATGATTTAGGGAGAATTTATGGAAACATAGATTAGGAAATACCTGTGTTCTATGTTATAACCATTCCTATACTTAGTTCAGGATTTAACCTGCCAGTATCAGTTAAAAGCGAAATAAAATCGAATAGTCACGATGTAATACGTTGTGGTTCCAAAAATAGTGTGACATATTTGCATCTTTGTAAAAGATATAAAAAAAGATGATAAGTTGTTTAATCTGCTGAATTTTCCCGGATTTGCCAGCTATGATTTGGGATCTACCTCAACTAGGATTTGTAACAAATTTCCTATACAAGTAGCAGAATAAGCTAAAGGTTGCGAAAATGCAATCTTACCATTAAGGCGCATTTGGCCGTCTAAAACGCGATTAACGTTTTAGATATCACAAGTTCCGTGGAGCGCTTTCTAGCAACGAATCGGTGGCACCAGTTAAAGCTAGGAATTCGCATGTATCCGGATTAATGAACACATACAATAAATATTTTTGACCGCAGTGTTTTTATATAATTTCACCTCTTGGTCGGAAAACTTGTCAAGTGTTTTAAAGAGCCGCTTTTCATCAACAGGCCGAAAACCAGCAAATAATTCGGATCAAATTGTGGTACTTAAATTTGAAGATTTTTTGAGTAAATTGTTTTGCGTACATTGTATTTACGCAATAACATGAGAAGGTTGCTACATACTTTGTTTGTCCTTCCTAGGTGACGTCCTTTTACATTGTCGAGGCGTATGTGTTCAGTAACTTCAACTTCGAAGTACATTCGTGCGTAAGGACGTTGTAGTGTATCGGAAAACATGCTCTTTCAGTATTTTGCGACACTGGATTTTAAGGTTGTCGTAATCTTCAAAACGTCCACCTGTTTTACTGACTGCACATCCGTTGACGCAAAGCGTTTTGGTGAGTAACTTGCTGTACCGTTCCTCTCTCTGGTTGATGCGCTACCTATTTTTGTATCCTGCACAGTGTACGTTGGGTTCAGTCTCCTTCAACTTCTACCCAGTCTGGTATTTGACAGCTCTCTTACGTGTCATTGATTGCCGACTAATATCACAGGTGCCACCAACAATTGGTGACCCCGCTCCAGAACACCTCTTCAGCCATTTTGAATTTTCGTTATGGTGAGCTCGTTTCAGTGATTTTATGATTCGTTACTTGTGATAATATTGGGTTCTCACCTACCACACTTTTAGTCGCTTTTTGAAACGGATTATCTAGAGGATGAGCCATCTCCAAAAGCAATTTGCGCCTTTGAGCCTAACCTGGTCAAATCTGTTGCGCTGGCCCCTTCACCTTTTTGGGAGAGTGACCTTTCGTTATGCTTTTTGCACCTAGAATCCGTTGTTTAAATTCGTGGGATTTCTTCTGATTACGCCATGTATATCCAGATAATATCTCGCCTTCCTCAGAGCATATCCTCGCAAGTGAGAGACACCATTTTTTGCCTCCCTCTAGTAATGAAATACGAGACTCTTACACTGGCTATTATTCAGCGAATCACGCTTTCTGTCAAGGTCCTTCTGCAGCAACTATTTATGCAACAAGGAGATGGGATGACCTCAGCCTAGTTGAGCGAAATGCAACAACTTACCGGCACGTCCAACATGGACGTAGAGATTCTCCGAGAGCTATGGATGCAGCGCCTTACTGAAAGCACTCAGGTTATCCTTGGGGCAACAAGTGACCCGCCAATCATAGCAATTGCAGATCTGGCAGACCGCGCCATCAAACGGTACCAGCCAGTGACTGAAACCAAAGCACCTAAGCAGCATTGTGCTGGCGCAACCACACCGATACCGGCGACTAGCCAACCGTCGGCAATAGACGCATTATCATCACAGATAGAGTCGCTTCAGCGCCAGATCGAAGAACTCAGTTTAAACCGTAAGCACCGCAACCCCTCTAGATTATCGTGCCGTTGCACAAAACCTGGTGCCACAGGCTGCTGCTTTTATCAATCGCGTTTCGGTACTAAAGCCCGTAAGTGCGTACAGGCGCGTTGCCACTCCGCTACAGATGCCCCGCCACGCCGGCCTGTAATGGCCACGAACGACGCCGGCAAAACCATAGTCGTCTCATCTACATTAGGGATTATGATTCCCAGACCCAGTTCTTAGTTGATACCGGGCGAAAGTCAGTCTCCTTCTCCTTAAGCTAAGTGAGCACACCGCTTCTTTCTCGACAAACTTAAGTGCCATCAATGACAAGCCAATAGCCATCTACAGTCATCGGTAGCTTACCCTAGACCTAGCTCTTCGGCGCAATTTCCGCTGGGTATTCACTGTCACTGCAGTCCACTTTGCCATCATTGGCGTTGACTTCTCAGATATTTCGACCTCTTGGTAGATACGAAGCGCCAGATGATAGACGACACTGCAACGA